ATCCTCACATGCGATAGCCTAGTAGCCGGGACAACTTCTTTATGTTTACAGAAGTGACGTAATGACGCAGCAGCATGCTCGAATTTCCCACGAAAACCTACCCGTACCACTCAAATTAGAAAACATTATTATAAGCTAACCGTTGTGAATCTGGCTAAAGTAAGGCGATAGTTTTGAACACTGGTCTTGCGACCCACTTTTGGGTCGCGACTCACCAGTTGGTTTAGATGATTTAACAAGTTTATACAATTCTTCCTCTCCTATAGCAGTGAATGAGTGTAATTGTTCCTCAGGGGATCAGTGCATTATCTGATGCGATACTGTAGCTGACAGCTGCTATTGGATAAGCTGAGGAATTGAGACATATCAGGAAGATTATTTACAAAGCAGTCTTTTGTCGTAGAAGTGATGGTTCTACCATATTTGTAACAAGGTGTTAAGTTTGCAGCTTTAGCTATATGGAGTATACATGAGACTAGATAATATCATCGCTCTGCTGCAGAATTTCAATGCCATTGACATCAATTCCATGTGATAGTATTAAATCTAAAGTATGATTACGACAATGAGTTGGTCCAGACATGTGTTGTCTGACCCCAATGGAGTTTAGAATGTCTATAAATGCTGATCCCAATGCATCTTTTTCATTATCTATACATGAATATTAAAATCGGCAACAATTAAGACTTTATCTACAGCCAGCTCTAGCTCAGATAGAAAATCAGCAAATTCTTTGATAAATTCTTGTATGGTGCCCTGGTGGCCTGTATACAGTAGCCAGTACAAACGTCAGTAGGGATTCATCATTAACACTTATTACTCTAGATAATGTTACATAAAGCACCATTACTTCAAACGAATTATACTTGAAACCAGACCATTGAGAAATACTGAAAATATTACTATAAATTGTAGCAACACCTCTCCCTTTACTTTTTGGACGCGGTTCATGTTTATAACAGTAATCTTGTGGGGTAGACTTATTTAAAGTAATGTAATCGTCTGGTTTTAGCCAGGTTTCTGTCAAACAGAGCACATCTAGGTTATATCATTTACAAAAAGTGCTTTCGTAGAAAGGGATATAATATTCATTAAGCCAAGCTTTGTCATATGTTTATATGTATTATATCTGTTTTTTTCTTTGTTGAACATTGATTAAATTGTTACCCTTTAATTGGTTTAATTGCTTTTTTTTTTGTATTCGGTAGTTCGGGGAACAGACACAGTGTCTTAGTATGATACACTGTTAGACTTTTTATCGTATTTTTGCGGTAAATTACGTTACTGTATACTGTAACTACCCCTTTACAGTAGCTTATCGCAAGTTCATTTTACAGTATAATGCCCTTTTTCATTTTACATGTTACAGTAAAATACCCTTACCGCAACTTAATTTTACAGTACTATATCCTTATATCCTTACTGTAACTTAGTTTTACAGTATAATAATATTACAGTAATTTATTTTTCACTATTTATTTT